GGCTGCGGGTTACTTTACATTTCATTTGCATGAAACACTGTATGCCCAAGAGATCAATCAATAGATCAACGGATGCTTTCTCAAAGCTTTCTGCAAGTACTTGAAAAGTCAAAGCTGTTAGGAAAGAACAGTTTATGACATCCCCAGGATTTGTGTTTAATACACTCATTGGTATGCATGTAAAATACAGAAACCCTACTAAATAGATACAGTTTTGACAAGTGTCACTTTACAGCCACAAGAAAGAAAATCAAAACACATGAAAGGACAGAATAATTACGTCTTGATCCTTTGAAAAACAAAACCACTGTCAACTTTGAAACCATTCTGTCTCTACCCAAATATTGAAGACAACTCTAACATCACGTTAGCTTGCATAATTCCAAGGATCTATACATATTCTATATTTTCAATACATGACCTTTTGACAGGACCTGACAAGCCACTTTTTATATACAAATTAGGGAAATAATGTCGCTCATTACAGTACGATGTGAGTTATGAAATTCATCATATATATTCACATATACTCAATTATAATGGGATTATTTTGCTTACTGTTGCCTTACAATAATATTAACACCTTTGATCAGCTACAGTTCTCATTGTTGTTACTAGGCAATTCTCCAGCCTCCTTCCTATGGCACTTTATCTTGAGTCTGTGAAATCTGAATACTTCTTGCAGGATGCATCTCATAATCACTCAGTGACTCTAGTAAAACAACTGTGAGATTTTTTTACTTCATTGATCTCAACTGCCTTCCTTTAAAGTCACTACTAATCAAGCACTTCCATGTGGCAATTAAAGACCTTCCTTAAAAAAAGTGATCTGCACATAGTCAATGATGAAGATAATGGAATGATAGCAAGCAACCAAGAGCCAAATTCCAGCTAGTCCCATTAATGTTATGCTCCATGAAGACTACATTTCTGTACATCTCTTCTTCCTCCCTCCTCAGCAGACTTTACGGTCCAGGAGCAGAGATCAGGGCCACATTTTTATACAATCTTGGCTCGATTATTTCACCCCAAAAATTCTCTCCTGATAGAAAAATTAAGACATACGTCCCATGGAGAGTCAGGCTGAGTCAGCACAGGTATATGAAGGGCAGGTTCTGCTTGACAAACCTGATCTGCTGCTATATGACACAGTGATGCACTTGGTAGATGAGGGAAGGGCTGTGGATATTGTCTGCCTGGGCTTTAGTAAAGCCTTTAACACCATCTCCCACAGCATTCTCCTTGACAAACTGGCTGCTCATGGCTTGGATGAGTGCACTGTTCATGGAGTTAAAAACTGGCTGGATGGCTGAGCCCAGAGAGTGGTGGTAAATGGAGTTACATCCAGCTGACAGCCAGTCACTAGCGGTGTTTCCCAGGAAAAAATTGAGAATACCACAAAAATGCTGCTAGTCATCTCTTACACAAACCCAGTGTCACGGAACAGGGAAGAGACAACCTTACAGCTGCCTTCCACTAAACTTTTAACTACACTCATCCTCCTCCACAACAGCACACGGGCTTTGAGGTAAGTGAACGATGAGGCACAGGACCTCATGAACCTCATGGTCTGGATTTACATTACTGAAAAATCACCTCAAAGTTTTGCACATATTTTGTAGGCAGCTTGAAGAATATACAGTCAGGTCCTGCACCTATTTCATAAAATCATAGAATCAATGAGGTTGGAAAAGACCTCCGAGATCATCAAGTCTAACCCTTGATCCCACACTGCCATGGTTATTAGACTGTGGCACTAAATGCCACAACCAGTCTCATCTTAAAAACCTCCAGGGATGGTGAATCCACCACTTCCCTGGGCAGCCCATTCTAATGCCTGATTACCCTCTCTGTAAAGAATTTCTTCCTAATACCCAACCTAGACCTCCCTTGGCACAGCTTAAGACCATGCCCTCTTGTCCTGTTGCTGGTTGCCTGGGAAAAGAAACCGACCCCCACCTGGTTACAACCTCCTCTCAGGTAGTTGTAGAGAGTGATGAGGTCTCCCCTGAGCCTCCTCCAGGCTAAACAACCCCAGCTCCCTCAGCCTCTCCTCACAGGACTTGTGCTCAAGTCCTTTCACAAGAGCCTGGTTGCTTTTCTCTGGACCTGTTCCAGCACTCAATATCCTTCCTGAACTGAGGGGCCCAGAACTTGACACAGTACTCAAGGTGTGGCCCCACCAACCAAGGCTCCAGGGACTTTTCTTTCTCCCTAGATAGTGCAGGAAGTTCGAATTCCTCTTAAAAGCAAAGGATGGAGAATATTTGTATGGAAAAAGAGTGCATGAAACATACTAAATAAAGCAATTTGAGGGTTCTAAATCACAGTTGCTGGAGCTAAAGTGAAAACCATGTGCACTTTCTCCAGTCTGGCCTTGGTTTGCTTCACTCTGTTCTCAGTTTTACATGGGCACAAAATAGATCTCCATTCAAAGGAGCATTCTCCACAGGATACACAAGGAATGGAGAAGAAAAAAGTTCTTTGGAAAATGGAAGTTCCCACTTTTTATAATTATGAATGCTATCTCTTACAACACCCTTTTGACAACAAATCACATACTATATTTAAAAGGTTAATTCCACCTAAATTACATCCAAAAATCCCCATCTGTAGACTCTGGCACTTTATAGGTGAAAGTAAACAATTTTACTAAGTGATTCTATGTAATTATAAAATTAATTAACATCAGATAAATGAGACATGAACCTATAATGGATACTACATTTAGCTGCTATAACTGCCAGAGCAGGCTATTAGCAAGTCAGTGAATAGACTGTTTCCTTATTTGAAACTGTGTTCCTGCAAGCAAAGCTCCTGGATTTCTCAACCACATCTAGCATGCAGTATGCCATATAAGCTCTATGAATTTGAGTTTCTATTCAAATACTGTCTGCTACCACTGATGCAGTAAGAACAGAAATTTCCAAGTTGCTTTAACAGAAAAAGAAATATCCTTTCCCTCTCTGTGCAAGTGAAACAAACTCCTGTCCTGGTACCCAATCAAAGAAAACCACTATATTGTCATATAACTTTGTAGGGACAAAACCAGAAAAGGAACAGTGCTATTGCTCAATTATCTCTATAGCATTGCTAGATGAGCCTTCTGAATTTCCCTCTTTCTACAGAAAGAATGGCCTTGTACCTGTATTAAGGGTAACAAAAGCTTGAAATGAATTTGAAATAAGTGATATTTCTTCTGAAAGAAGAAAGATTTATGCTTTCATTGGTGACAATTCACCCTAAAGAAATATTTAAGAAAAGCAGAGTCCTCAGTCTTTATAGTCAAATACCCTTGCCTTTCCAATCAATAAACAGACACTCCCATACACCTGACTCTTCTTTGGTCAGGCAAACAGAATGCCTACTTTTTGGGCTCCACAAACCAAACATGTCCCAGCCTGCAACTCCAGTCAGGAGTTCATGGAATTTGGCAATGCTTTGGCCATGATTCTCTCAGCATTGGCCAAGGTGATGCTCTCCACTTCAGCTACTGCTTCTGCGGAAAGAGCCAGCAACAGTGCTTACCCCTGCCTTCCTTTCATGAGATGGTGTTCCCATTTCATCCCCACCTCCCCAACCTCCTCCCAGAAACTAAACTCAAGACTTATATGGAGCAAGGCTGCTGCAAACTAGAGCTTGATTAACTCTACCATACCAGAGTAATCATGTGAATTCAGATGTGGAACAGACACACAAAAAGATCTGAGCAGTAGATAACAAGCCAAAACCTCCTTGGTGCGAATGGAATGTGTAAGCCTACTTGCTTGCACACTTGTGTGCTAACATAAAGACTTAAAGGCAAAGAGGCTCAAGGAAACATTTGTGTCAGTAAATAAAAAGACATCAGAACCCACGCATAAGCAAGGGTGTATCTTCTTTTTTCATCCACAATTATTTAATCTACATTAAAGTAAGTTGCCATTTTGGCCTAAGACAAATAGCAATTTCCTAGACAATGTTCCAGTATGTCTCAAAGAACATGCATCCGGAATTATTTTCAAGTATGTATAAGGCTATCTTATTTGAGAAATGAGGGAGAAGAGAGATTTAAGCCTATGGTCACAATCTATGCCTTTCCCTAAGGGCCGGAAAATGTGCCCCTACCCCAGCTGCTTTGATGGCATACTAGTAGCCTCAAACACTGCTGTGCTTTGCCCCAGAATTGAGGGAAAATATATAGTACATGCAAATCACACACTGTGCCTACTCTCCAGGGGGACCACTTAAGAGATAATACAGAACTGAGTTATTTCTGATTACCTGAAGTTAATTGGAAGAGGTGAGTCAGTTAGGTGAAATGCATGCTATTATTGCAACTGCTTTTATAATTTTCAAAATAATTGTACCACTATTTGTTAGTGTAGGGCCCAAAAACCTGGCTTTTGGTCAATTATAATTATTTAGGCTTGTTGCCATGAATTAGTACTGATGGAACGCAAAGCTATTTTTGTCTGAAAAACAGTATTAAAGGCACTAGAGAGCTTTTGTGATTTTACTCTTGCCTGGACTGGAAAATACAATGTCGATTGAAAACATGTTAAAAAACTTCAAAAAAACCCACAACACCCAAAATGAACACACATCTAAGATCAGTATCTAAACACAAGATTTGGGACTTCTCCCTAAGCACACAGTTGGGTTTGCTTACACCAAATGGATTCATATCAATTGCTTCACAGCATATTTGCAATGAGCAAAACGGGACAGCAAGTTACATTCTCACACGACTATTTAGGCCACCCCAAGATTCATACAGGAACCTAACATGCATCATTAATTATTCACAATTTTGACTGCATATATACCTTTTTTTAAAAAATGTATGCATTCATGTATACATACATAACAGGATACATACATCCTGGAAAAATAACTGAAAACAAATGTAGTATTTTACAATTACATCTGTTCTAAAAATAAATAATTCTGTAAATTCATTACAAATATTTAATTACAACACTCTCTACAGGTTAGTCTGAATAGCTTTATTATCTCACCTTCATTGTCGCAGTCTTGCAATGAAAGCCATATTTGATCTACCAGACCAACTCCTTTTACTTCACCATGAACTGGAATGGAATGCATTACCATTAATGCAGTTGTCAAGGGTTAGGTTTGCTATTGCCAATTCTACTTTTTTTTTATATATTTATATTTCTTCATCAATTCAAGCCTTATTTTTCATCCTACTTTGCGGAAGAGAAAACATCCATTGTGATACTTTTAGATTGTTCTCAGTTCACGTTTTTCACCCTTAGGCATCTATAACATGAGAAAGGTTGTCATTATTGATACGTTCTGGACTGGAGTCTATCAGACACAACTTGTACATGTATTTTAGAGCTATAAAAATATGTGTCACTTAAAAATATTTATGGAAAATTGTAATATGCTTTATGATACACAGTGAGGAGATATTCTTCAGTCACGGGCCAAATTCTTCTTGGTATATATTCTTGGCCTGCAAAGACAAACTTCATGTACAGAACTTCTGCACAGAAGTCAAGAGTCATACTCGTAGTCATCCTGCATGCAGGAATTTTTTGTTTGGCACTTATGGGTTATGTCTGGGACTTTTGCTTTTGTTGGGGATCATATAGAGGAAAAAATCTGATTCATTAAGAGCCAAGTCAGGAATTCATTGGGTTAAAGAATTCTCAGAAGATATAACATCAAAACAGCTTTTCAGCACCTGGCCCTACTCCTCACTCCCATTAACCTATAACCAACCTTGTGCTTTTAAGTTGTTCTGTTATGTCAGAGACCCTGGTGTTCCCTTGCTGCTTCCTGTAAGGCAACTCAGCTAAACAACAGGTTTCCACACATCCTCCTGTTCTACTCCACGGTACCTCGGCATGAGGTATCACAATAAACATAAACAAAATATTTACAAATTCAGTGCTAAGTATTCTTTGCAACATGAAAAAAATGAATTTCACATGCCAAGGCAGAAGATCTATGGCCAACAGACCTGGTTGTATGTTATGAATTCAATTATAGGGACAAACATCTAAAAAAAATATATATATATAAAAGCGAACACCAGCCAAAATTCCAAAGCTCAATTTAAATCATCTACTTAAATTATACTGCTTGAAAATTTGTGTAACTGCACATTTTATATACATGTACACATAAACTCCAACGTATTTCACATGAGTCACTGAAGAGCTTTTTCCTCAGAAATTATATTAACGTTAAAAAACAGCAACAGAAATAGATTTTCTATTACTAGCATTTTATGAACAGCATAAAATCAATAGAATATATAAAAAAATGATTTGGGCAATATTAAATATTATGTCAGGAGAATGGGCTACGTGAACCATAGACCTTCTCTGACTGATTAGGGATTATGACCAAGAGCAAATTTAGACCCATCATGTTCAACAGGCATGATTAACTATGTATGTAATATTCTACAATAAAGCTGACCTCCAGAAGCTTGCTCCTGAAATTATGATGATAACTGAATCTTTCCCTTGCAAAGACAGAAACTTAATTTTCCCCAACTGAACTCCATTTTAGAATCTTGCAAAATCAAATAACTGAGATATAACACTGTGTCACAGCTTTCCTGTCCCTAATACAACCACAGGATTATTGGGGATAGGATGGTAGAGGGAAAGCCCCTTTCATGCCTGACATGAGCACAGCACCCCTGTACTCGAATCAAGGTAGAGCCCTCTCCTATAATAATGACTTTCTGTCCAAGTACAACTGTGCTAAGAGTTATTGATGATAACCTAGATTAAAATAGTAATTAACTCCTCAAAAACACTCCTATGATGGGCAAGGGTTGTCAGAAGGACAGAAACAAAACAGCAATTGTGACCTTGAAAGAAAAGTATTGATCGGATTTTGCCTTGTGAAGGGAAGGAGGGGAAACTGAAACCAACCATCCTGAATCATTAATGAGCTCCCACAGCATGCTCCTAACTCCAGATTTTTTACATATCCAAGTGGTTTTTTCTTCAGGTTTCCTCAAAAATAGCACATTTAAAATCTATACATGAAAATAAACTACATATTCATTCAAGACAACGTGAAGTATTTCTAGGCAACAAAACAGAAGAAGAATATTCCAAATCAGAAAACCATCATTAAATATCTCATTACAGTTTACAAACATTCCCACTATGGTTGCATGGTTGTGTTTAGCCCCTTGGCTCTTACATAAACTTTATACAAAATCAAGAAAGATTATAAGACAGCGGAACATAATTCTACAAAAAAAATTTACAACCTTGGCTATAACTACTACAGCCACCTAACATCAGAGAGGACCTGTAATGATGAGCAAAAAAATAAGCTGCATACAATCCTATGCATAAACATGTGATTTCCAGGCCAAGGGCAAAAATCTCCTCTTCCATGCATGCTCCAAATATACAATCTCTGGAGTCTATCACAATGCTGATTCTGCACTGACCGGTTGCTCCTATTTCCATCAATGGTGTTTGTGGTGCTGAAAAAGCAGTAGTACAGGCTAGGGCAAAGAGGTTTGCTCTCACTGATGGCTGCACCCTATAGCACCCAAAACCATGACAGAACTAGCTGTCCTTCTAATTTTACACGGTTGATCCACAGTTTTAATCATCTGTTTCTGCATGCACAATGATTTGCACACGGTGGGTGGGAGAGGCCTCATTTCTTTTGCATTCATTATTTTAATTGTACATATTGTACACACTGAAATTCACTGTATTCATTGAAATATTCAGAGAAAGTCTGACTACTGTTTGCATTTGTTACTGTATTCTTTGATGTGTTCACATCAAATCTTGTGACCACATGTGAATAGCACAGGACAGATTAAGTAAACCTTTGTCAACAGAAGTGTCCTGCCTAGAGGCCAGGCAGAATGCCACCATACACAGCTTTGCAGAATAAACTTTCTCATCTTCCTACCTCTTTGATCCTATAGCAGCTGTGGTGCAAGCAGCACATTTCTTGGCTTTGCCTTTCTGATTTTTGGTGCCACTGGTCTGGCCTTGGTGCATCATAGTAGGAGTTTAAATATTTATTTTTTTTTATTTTTTGTTTTGTTTTCTTAAAAAGATGCACTGGAATTCATGAATATGCAGGTTCAGTGAGGAACATCATAAAAAACAAGTGACCGCAGAACACAGAATAACTAAACATTAAGACACCACTCAGAACAGAAGCACAGATTTCTTCCTCTGGTCCTACAATATTGTTTCGAAACATACATACCTTCTGGTATCAAATTCCACAGTAGCAAGCCAACCTAAAAACCACACAGTTTCACTGACTGCAAGAGCTTAATTTCAGGTTGGCAGCAACTAGAGGTAAGAGAAAAGCCAGCTTCCCAAGCTTTCACTCTGCAGTTACTGAGCTCAGGGTAGCTCCTGGCCCCAGTTATGGTGACTATACTAAGTCTGGCAACATTTGCAAAATACTTGTAAAGGATGCATTCCCAATACTGACCTCATCTAGAACAAACATTGTTGTTCTGGGAGGCATCATCTGGCCTATCTCTCACTTCCTCAGAGATCATCAGAGCTGATACTCTCCACAGCTCTCAATTCTCTCCCCTCAGGGCTTTTTCTCTTGCTTTCATTCCTTTCTTCAATCACTTTCTCACTGATTTCTTTGCTTCTCTCTAGGATATCAGAGACCATGCTTTTAAAGTCAGGTTGAGATCTTCCCCAGATAGACAAGAAATCACACTACCCCTGTTTCTGTCATTCATCCAACTGACAGATTTTAATCCCACCTTCCTCATCACAACGAACTATGCATCTTCAATCCCAGTAACTCCTATACAACTTTGGGTTCCCGTCTTAACCCCTTCCTGCTCTTCTCTTTCTACTCAGAATATAATCAATCCTTCCAGTGCAAAACTGGGAAAAGGTGTAAATTTTTTGCCTTCTTTGGCTTGCTTTCTCTTAGTTACACAACAACCTTTTCCTTTTTCCCCCATCACAGTTTAAGAAATTCCCCACCTACTTACCTTTTCTACTCTTCTCACTTGGAGCTGAAGTTCTCCTCTTCTAGTTTTCCTTACCTCTTTTTTCACTCCTCTGGCATTCTCTCCATCATTTCTCAGTTAGCCCAACTTCTCTAACAACCAGCATGTCTTTTTTTTTTTTTTTTAAGTAATCCCATCTGTCTCTCAAACTATTAACTGTATTTCTCACTGTGTTCATTGAATGAGTTGCAGGAGGTTCACCTGCTCTTGTTCTTGGACTATTAGTCTTCTGACTACAGTACCCCTGTATGCACCCAAAATCTTGCTCAGTGTAGTCTCGACCCATGGTAGTTATTTTCTACTAGTTTTATATAATCTATCATTCACCACCTGTGCTCAGTTTTGCATGACTCATGGTTCAGAGCTATTTGTACAATCCAAACTGCCACACACTGTATTTCCTCACAAAACAACCTTTGAATTCCTTGCAATCAGTTTCAAAATGAAGGAGAAAATGTAATCTTCTTCACAAAATAACAGCCAGTGATGCTAACACAAGGAATCTCCAACCAAGTGTACTACTGTTGAAGACAGATGAAACTCTACACAAAGAACTAGAAAGCATTATATTACAGAAAAGGAAAACTGAATCTGTTCACTCTGGTTGCAGTAATTATGCAAAATCACGCAAAATTTGTTTTTTATGTTTTTCCATCTTAGATCATCTTTTAGACCTATTTTGCATTATTAGTAACCCCTCTTACTGAAAATAAACAAGAGAAATGTGTCAGAACTACAATCACATTTCAAAAGGTGAATCATAAGCAATGAAGCCATGGAGTATTTAAAAAATTGACTTATTTGGTTAAGTGACTAAACTATGACTATACTGGACAACTAAAACCACTCAAAAACCACAAAGTTATGCTAAAGAAAGCAGAATGCTACTTCGAGTCATGTTTAGAAGATATTTATCTGACTATAGGTGAAAGGCTATACACCAAACCAAGAATGTGCAAGCATACGTGACCACAAACACGAATGTACGTGAACCCTTCAGTCTGTGTAAAAAGGATTAATCACTTCAGTCTACAACCTGTGTTTGTGTCTACCACTAGGCACACACAGTTTTCT